TTTTAAAGCCGACTGTAGTACGGTTTAGATTTTTCTCATTGTCGAAGGCCGTACGGTGGCCTATAATTGCTTACCTCCACTTCATTTGAACTTTGGTGGATAGTTGTTTCATTGACAATCATACCACATATCTTTTTTTATAAAGAAATCAACAAGCATTAGAACACTTATGATATCATTATGACGTCATGATCACAAGTGTATAATCTTATGAACAAAAACATTTACTAGTATTTGATTAACTTTCAGGCTAAATTTTAATAGTTTTGCTTCAAACAGCATTGGACACATGTAAGGATCACAATGGTTGTCTAGTTTATCTAAATTTGCATTTCTATTATCATAAATATAGTTTTTTGCATATGATATTACAAAATTCGGTTTTAGGGCCAAATTAAAGCCTTCATGGTCCTACTCGTTTTTGAATAAAGATCATTATTTTATATACAAATAAATCATGATACCGTAATCAATATTAAACAGTAAAACTTTTTACCATAAAAAAATGTAAAAAAAATAAAAACCAAGAGTTTTGGTAAGAGAACAATTGAAGGTCTTTCCACATTACATTTCTAAATAATTGAGAAGAAGCTACTTCTGGTTTAATTAAAGTTACTATTGGTGTCCAATCATAGGTTTTTTCATACTGATTAAAAAATATATGGTTTATAATACTTGTATCTGAAATAAGGGAGATAATTTCCTACTTTCGGTTTAGAAAAGGTCACTACCAGTGATAGTTTTAATCAGACAGATTCCAAACTTTTACCTGAAATCAGCGAAATAATTTGCTACTTCGGGTTAAAAAATGGCACTTCCGTTCTCATATGATAGCTTTATTTACACTGATTCTAAAAACATATGGTTTCTGTATGCTTTTGCCTGAAATAAGGGAAAAAATTTCCAACTTCCGGTCTCATATGATAACTGTATTTACACTGATTCCAAAGTGTATGGTTTCTATATTCTTTTGCATATGATAAGGGAGATACTTAGCTACTTCTGGTTTATTGAAGGTCACTACCGGTCTCAATTGATAGGTTTATGTATGTCTATTGAAAACATATATGGTTTATAGATACTTTTCCCTGAAAAAAGTGCAGAAATGGCCACTTCCGATTGTCAGTTTTCAAGGTCATATGTCACCCTCCAATTTGCAAAAGACCCCATAGCTTTATCATGTACCAAGCTGAAGTAATAATCAATTAACCTTAGATTAAAACATTTCATTGGCAAAACTCCTATAAGATGTCATTGGATTTTTTCAGACCAAACGTATTATATCTTCATCAAAATTAAGCAAATATTTTGCACTATTTTTTTATATCTATCTCTAAGAGATTTAGAGAAGATGCAGAAACAAGCTAAATTCAAAATTAAGAACATGTCTTTTTGACCTTGACCTCATTTTGTAAGTAAAGGTAATGGATCTCAAATAAAGACTCTAGTCTATACGGCTTACGGTTTATGACTTGTGACTTAAAACATACCGATAAATCAAATTGTTAAGGGTAGATAACTCCTTAAGGTATCACTAGATCGCTTCGATCCAAATCGGCCAATTTTTTTAGACTCCGGACGATCTAAAGCTGGACATACTATTTTGACACCTATCCATAGTTGAAGACCGTATGTTGCCATCTTAACGTGTTTTGATTATTTTTGTCGTTGGGTAAAGTTTCCCTCAATTTCTTTTATTCATGTGATGATAAAAACAAAGACAGTCAGAATTGTAAAATGTAGATATTGCTTAAAACAGTTTACGAATATATACATTAAACGGGGAAATGTTAAGTTCAAATAATACTGTATTTTGGCATGTTAAATAATAAATGTTATTTTGTAGCCTGAGAAACTTTCACACCAATAAAATGAAAAAAGATTAGGAAATTGAAACCAATATTTATTTCATTTTATCTTAATGATTCAGAACTTTATTGGGTTTTAAAGCTCTTTATAGCGCCATAAATTTTGAAGTGACCTTTAAGTAAAAACAGCAAACAATTTGGCCAAGTTAACCATGCAAGATCGTAAGTATTGCTCCTTTATATATTCAATTTATAGTCTAATGGACAAAACAATATGTGGTTATATTGACTACTCAGTTAAGTCACTAGAAACGGTTTTATCAAAGTTGGGTTCAAATTCCACTCTGTTCATAAACGTGCAGATTTTTGGGCAAATTCTTACAGTGTTTGTAAAATTATTTTGCCCTTTATAGTCGTCTTGCATGAAAAAGTGCGCTTTGGTTTGTTTTGAAGGGCTTAGTATGACTTTGATATGAGGGAAAACCAAAAGAGGCTTTGTACCTGTCTTTTTGTTTATCAAGCACTTGCAAAGAATGTTTGTCATGGGTGAACACGCAATATTCTTCTTTTCCATTCAATACCATGGATTTCACCAAGGAATGCCTTAACTTGTACGTCCCAAATTACTCCAGATGTGAATGCGTAAAACAAAAACTCTCTCAGCTTGTATCTTAATGCCGAAAGGAAAAGGTCTTGGTAGCCTTACTATTTTCTTAATCTATGCAGCAGAAGTCTGGAAATAGAAAAATTCAAGGAATTACTACACGATAATAGATATATTGTATTGATACTCGTCTTTAATAGATGACTGAATGTTGACCTACATATATCTTTTAAATTTATGTCTTGTTAGGTTGATGTCTTGTTAACGTATACATACTCCACATATCTTTATATTCATGTTTCAAACGGCTGTGTAGTATCGAGGATTATAAAACTATTTTTTTTTAAAGAATGTGGTAAATTTTACTTGTTAGACGGCTTTGAAAAGTTAAACAAAAATATGACTGAGGATAAACTAGAACACATGGACATTTTTTCTGCAAATAACTATTTTACTATACAAATAAGGCGTACAGATAAACCGAAGCGATATTCAAATAGTAAACAATTATCATCTCAGGACATTCTGCTTCTGTTGCGATTCAAATTACGGTTAACGTCACAGTTTATTTTGTGTGTGCTCTTCGCAGTCCGCGTCCTAGCAATGCCAATTTCTATAACTACAATGTACATATATTACAAAACAATGTCTTGACGTAATGGCATTTGATAGTATATAATTTGGATCTTTTACATAAATTTTCAAATGACTCGCTGTCAGCTGTATATAAGAGATGAAGGTAGCATGTGATCAGTTGGGATAGTCAAAGAAAACATGTCGCATGACCTGCGCTTTCTTGTGCATCTGATTATAATTGAATGATTAATTATAGACATTATAGACAAAGTTAAGTTTTGCTTTGTAATGCAACCATTATACATAGTCAAACTGCATTAATTTCTACGTTACGACAATTATTTTATCTTTAAACAAAATGAACAACAAACAGACGTCATAGAAATGTAAACACAAATATTAATTTTCTTTTGGATTATTTGTATTTAGGTTGACATTTGAGTGGTATAATAATTTATCATATGATTTAAAGATGGACATATTAGATTCTCTAATCCCGTACACTCGTTTGAAACTGATAACAGCGGTCATATCCTCCAGTTAGAAGATCAAAACTTTAAAAGGTTTTAATATGTGAAATGTAAACTACTGCTCAATGTACAACAAAACGACAAAACCGTAACAGAGAGTGGCATTTAAGATATATAGCATATGTATATAAAATATCAAAATCATCTTATTTTAGATATGAGTGACGTCTTAAAGAAAAATATGCTATTAATTTGCAAAATTCAGATATCCAAATATGAGAAAAAAAATATGCACTATATATATTAGTTTACATATATCAATAACATATCATCAAATGTATTCGAATTTAGATACTAGTGTATGGAGTACTAATTAGAACTGCTAAAGTAATCGAAGCATTCATGCTACTAGTAATTGGGGACATATTTACTTTGTAATGTTTTTGTATTTTGTATTTGTTGGCACGTTGCCAAACCGTTGTGCACATGTCTGTTCATCCATTATTATCACTTCAGTTGTAAAGCTGGTTAAAAAAAACTACATATCACATAAAAGACTTTTGATTATAATGCTTTAAGTATTTAGTCTTTACATATTCATACTTATGGGAGCTTTTACATTAGAATTCAGAGTATCCCGCATACACATATTTAATATGTATTTAGCTTAGATCTCCATAAATTAAAGGCAACAGTAATTTATCGATGTTCAAATCTCACTTATCCATATTATCCTTTCTAAAGGTGTAATACCACCAAATCATAGTACGTCACATCCGGTTGCACGAAAATAGGTCGAAAAAAAATATTCCCTTGAATTTGACAGTTGTAGGTAATTGATCCTACATTTCATTGCAGTAAAACATTTCTGGGTCATAAACATATATCTTGGGTATTTCAAAGCACCATTATTTTTTTATTTGGGGTTTCTATAGAATATTTTGGAAACTTGAGGTTACATGGTTACTAAAGCTTGTACACAGGTTAAAAAAGGGGGAAAATTTAATTGGTTAACTTCCAGTGATGGTTATTTTCTTATATGCAATGAAATGTTATGTGAAATTTTTTCTATAGTACTGAACAGGATAAAACTTTACTCATGCCAAGTATTTCTTTATTTGAAACAAAGATAAATTCTGCACAATTTTTTGAAAGTGCATATTTAACAAAGACTAATAGGGGAAAATCAATGGTGGTATTACACCTAAACATGCAAATCAGGTTAAAAAAAATTAAGCTGAGGTAATCGCGTAAGCTCCAAAAGGAGCGAAACCGGGTGAGTCGACAGGATAAACGTCTCCTACTATGCATGAATCAAAATATCAAAACAGGAAATAGTAAACATTCAGTTAATTAACAAATAAAACGACTATTTTGGTATCTGAAGATCCTAGACCGCGCACACATGTCGCCAGGGAGTAAAGACAGGCACATAAGTTTACCAACTCGTGATGGTGACCGTAAAACGTATGTACTCAAAGAAACATATTTGATTTATTTGTCATGTTTCTCTATATTTTCATAAACAGTTTTCCATTCCAGATATAAGAATGCCATCAACCACGTACAGTCCATTTTTTAGTGGTAAGTACACAAAGATTATAACAATGCACTGTATTTTATTTTTTGCTTCATTTCTAACCTTTTGACGTACATTTGCAGGCATGCAAAACTATTGCTATGGATACCTTTCCCCTACTGTAGATACTATATCGTTTATGGTTTTAATGCGTTATGTTTCTGTCTCATTGAAATCATTGCAGATGATTCCGACAAAAAGGTAGGCGTGTCTTACACTATTTTGTAAATAATTTAATGCAGATTTACAGCTTACCACGTTTCAGTTTGATACACGACCACCAAATCAAAATATAGCGAAAGATCGAACGAGTGTCATAAAAAAAAATATTCATAGACAAGTACCTGTGTAAAATACGATTCATTATGCAGTGTTTTTCAATACTGATTGTTCTATGGTAAAGCATGTTTTATAGAAAAACGACTAACAGAAACCACTTGATTAAACCCATTTTCATAATTTTCACTTTCTTTTTTACCAGATTCATGTGTTTTATTCAATAAAGGAAACTGCGGACCTTTTACCAGATTGATCGATCCATGTAGTTGCACAAAATACTTTCAGTGTGTGAATAAGGAGGTAATCCCCCGAGAGTGTCCGCAAGGTACTGCATATGATCATACTGTACCAGAGGTATCGAGTTCGTATTGTAGAAATGAAGCAGATATCATTATTCAACAAATATGCACACAAGACACGTCTTGGACAAGGTGTAGTGTGACGGCCAATGCAACAGGTAATTTACTAGTTATTAGTCTTGATGTGCTGAAAGTGCATGCTTCTTGATTCAGGACAAATATACTCTACATTCTTCATTACACAAATGACAAATACTTTTAAACTATCATGCATTAACAGTGACCATTTTTATTAACGTTCAACTATGAGTATTGCATTAAGACTGCAAATGAAACTTCCTCACGCAAGATTGATATTGAAAACTTTGTTTACTTGAGTGTTCTCATCTTGAATATGCACGGGCTTTATGGCAGTGAAAATCAAATCGTAAACTTGTATTAATATTGAAATAAATATTTTGCTTATTAAAGATTCGGAATTACTTCAAATTCAATCAAGATGCAAAGGAACAACAACAGCTACAACCGTTGGTCCTGTAGAGAACACTTCAAATGTGGGCGCCATTGTAGGCGGCATTCTTGCTGGACTACTTGTTGTGATACTTTTGATAGCTGCATATATTCTTTATAAAAGAGGATATGTGCCATCACTTACTTTAAAAAAGAAGAGATTGAAGAGGTAATTATTTTTATTCAAGCCATGTTGTTCCAGATTTACGGGTCTTAACCCGGTGGATTTAAGGCAATTTTTCTCATATCGCATACTCACTTGCTTAGATTTGGTAAAAGTAAGCAAGCTTTCAATTTTGCAAATTTTCTGATTTGTTATTCCAGAATAATACGACTTACTCCGTCAGATAAGATAATATTGTTTTCTAGGTCGACTGTACTTGGACACAATTTGTTCATACTTCTTACTGTTAATGAGATTGCTGAAAGTAATCACCCTGTGGATTTCTAGAATTTTCAGATTTGCTATTTATATTTAAGACTTATGGATTTTGACGTCACCAAATGTGACTTATCATCGAATTTGACTTTCCACTAGCAACAAGACGGGTGCAACAAATTGAACAGGAACGGATTTAGTTCATTGAATGCGTGTTTATTTTTTAACATTTATAACATTGCATTTTAGCAAGCACCCACTTCATAATCAACCATCAATAGCAAACCCTCAGTACTTTGGTCAACCAGGAATGCACATGACTATTGGTGACCATCATGATCGTGACATATATGAAGAATATGCCACTATTGATGATACTGGGGTAGGTCATTACCTTTTCAGTTCATCTGATACATTTATTATCACTATGTTAAACCCTCAGAGGGTCATTCTAAAACATTTTACATACTTGCTTCGAAATATGCTATGTCAATCTTCTTATACAACTTTTACGTATATATGTTACAGTAAATTTGTATAATTCGGGATTATGTAGAATCCCTAAAATGGAATAATTTCAATAGCATTTTAACAAAACAAAGTTTTGTTTCGATCCACTTGATTTCAAGAGAGCATGATGTGAGTATTTTTGGACATTAAGGAAGACAATAGCAATTGTAAAAACGGTTATCCATTTAAACTTGATATGGAATCATTTGTATCAAGTTTAATGTTGACTCTTTTTTAAAAAAAATACATTTACATAGAATATCAGAGAATTCGTACTAAAGTACACTTTTTAATGGATTTGTTGAAAATAACAAAGGGGCAATCAAAAACCAAAAATCGAATAATGACGTATAACACAATAACAACTAGAAAATCACAGTCAAAGGTAATACTAGAAAAAACTAAAGATTGAGCAACATAATCCATTCGTACCAGAAGGGTCAAAAGTTCCTGATGCATTAGTGATCTATTAATTAATCGTTTCAGCAGTAAAGCGTCATTCAATTGTCTTTCTTCAAACCATAAGGAATTTTCAAATTTATACACCATTTATACATGTGGAATTTCTTAAAGATATGAACGAAGGTGTAATCACACTTTTCGTGACAAAGGGTAAACAAGACCATTCCAAATAGAACGTTACAGACATTGCAAAATAGAATATCAAAGTAGACAACGTATGAAATTTATCAGAAGGAGTTAACCAGCAGCGGTGGTAACTTCGAGCGTGTTTCTGGAAGTTAAGCATATATTATAGAAGTAAAATGCGTTAATGCGTTACATTGTAGGTGTATACAAATTGATATGTGATACTTTTTAATTTTAATTTTAATTTATTTGCATTTAAGTTCTTCAGGCTCATGGTACTGTTTTACGAATCATCGCTTTTCTCTGTATTTTCCATACAAAACATGTTTGTTCATATTTAGAATTGTTAAATATTTTTTTGGATCTTTTGGTAACCAAATACAATGTAAGTCTCATATCCCCTTGTTCATGTTATTTTGTTGTTAATAGGATTTTTTATAATTAATTTAGCATGATCCTAATTTTCCTGAGAGAGCTCCTCGTCTACCAGAGAGACCACCGTCCCTCCAATCAAACAAAACTGATAGTGGTGATCGAAAGATATCTGTGACTTCCGTTCAATCATATATGGAGCCTTCACCAACACTTAAATATGGATTCGTTAATCGTGGATTAAATATTCAAGAAGAAGATACAGATTCGAACGGGAATGATCGATTTTACACTGAGATTTTTCCAGACCCGCCATCCAATGGACAAATTCAATTCACTCATTCGCATAATCAATCGGAAGAAGAAATTTCTCCATATGATAATTCACTTCATGTATAAGTGTTTGCAGGGAGATAAATACATGTTTTTTGTGCAATATGTGCCAGATATTTAAAATAAATCGTACGAAATTGCAATTGTGATAATACGAGTATTTAATAATTGTTATATTACTGCTTTGATATTTTGTCCATATCTTACGTTGTTTTATTGGTCTTCATGAGCATAACAAAATTGTATAAACGAAATTGTTGCTATATAATTTTTAAAACTTCAGCAAATGAAATATGTCTCATCTCCACTTATAAAGTCACAAATATATACATCTGTCAGCCCAATGAAAAAACTTTCCGAATCAGTTTTACTATTTCCCATCAAGTTCAATTTTTATTTTTGCAGCAATAACTTTTCCAGAGAATGATGCAGTGTATGGTTTCCGGATGCTATTATCAGTTTGTTATTGGCTATTATATTTTGACTTTGCAATCTTACTACCTAACATGCAACGCATATCAAGTACTATATTACAATTGACCCTATTATTATTTGTTATACTATTCTAAAATATTAGGTTTATAATTTTCAGCATGTCAGCGTTATTTTATTTCTAGTTTGAATTGTGATATTTAGGCTAGGATCTTATAATTAGATATCATTACCAATCTACGATAAAGTGCAGTCAAGTTTAATTCCCCTTTCTTTGTCAGAGAGGCGAGAGATACCAAAGGAAAATTCAAAATGCAAAAAACGAAAAACGACGAAAAGACAAACAACACAAAACACAACATAGAAAACTAAAGACTTAGCTACACGATCCCCACCAAAAAAACCGGTTGTGTCGATAGTGGAACGTCCTGTTCTCCGTTTACTTATTTTAACCTTATAATGGCAAACTGTGATTTTATATTTTTATGATCCGAAAAAAAGTTTCATGTCATTTGATATTTTCGCCTCTTTGGTATGTCTTCACAACAGAGATAAACAAAATTCAACCAATTGAGACCGAGCGAACCACACACTGATTATCAAAAGATTAACAACTTGTCAGGGCTTGAAAAGGAAAATCGCTAAGAATTATATGTTTACACTCATGTTAAAGAATATTTTTTTCACATATATTTTTTCTCTTTTTTATCTCCTAGATGAAAACGTATCATGAGAATCGCAATCTATTCACACAGATGTATGGTGTTAACCTACATAAATTGAGCTGTCTTTCAATTCATGAGAGCATTCTTTGAAACGATATGCTATCGTTTGTTATTTTGAGCTTGAACTTGTATTTTGCTATCTGTTTATCGTTATCTTATTTTTGACTGTAGTGTTTTTGAAATACGGATTTTTTATTGTATGTTCTTTTATGTTCCTTTGTAGTAATCTGCTGATGGAGATTCGAATGATGAGGTTTGAAATATAAAAATACGAGTCTAACCCCGCCACATATTCACGTGGCTGTCCGAGGCCAAGAACTTTATCAGTGATTGTCTTATGTCATCTCTTATTATTTTGTAAAGAATTTGGAGTTGTGGACAGATCTCTGACACGCTAAATTATTCATAAATGAACGATTTAAAGCTTGAAACATAGTAAATATACATGCCTATATAATTGAATAAAATAGGAAAAAAAGTATAACAAAAATACCAAACTCCAAGGTAAATTCAAAAAAGGGATTTGAGCGCGTCTGATTAGTCTTATATATAGACGAAACGAGCATCCGGCATACCAAATTATAAGCCTGGTTTCTTTGATGAGTTTTCATTAAAGGTTTCTTATACGAAAATGTCGATCTGTCATAATGGAAAGTAACACATCAGAACTAGTTGCATGCATACTTTTGCCATATGTTAATACTTACAATGTTTATAATAAAATTTTAATCAATTTCAAAGAAGGCATTTCGTAATTTGCTAACCATTTTGTCGGGAAATCCTTTTCATACCCCTGTTTTGTTGAAACTAAAATATATACAAAAATACAATAGTAGATTTTAACCAAACCGTTGTCAAAATTTCTGAAGCTTATATTTTTTTCCTTTAGTTGTTTAAAATGTAATGACTCTTCGTCACTTGAAAATGAAGCACTTTAAACTCAAAATTTGCTTGTTACAACTTATGCACGCAGTAACTGATTAAAAATGCAAATTCGGTGTTTTAAAATTTCATACTTAAAATTCGAGAACGTCTTCTTTGACAGTTTGTCTGAAGTCCAAAAAATTGAATGATAAATTAGATGTTTAAGAAAACAAAAATATTATTTATCTTTTTCTAAACTGAGTTTTTGATAAAAGTTCATTTGTAAAATACTTTTTTTTTAAATAGTCAGAAAAAGTATTTGATTTTGTTAAAAGAAACACTTTAATATTATGATTTGCTCGAAACATGCATGTTTGCAAAGAAAAAAATTACTCGAAATAAACGTGTCAAATTGTTTGTTTGGAAAGATATCAAAATAAATATATAAAAACAAAACAAAATTAAACAAGACAAAGCTTATCACCCTTAAAAAACAACAAAATTTAAAAACTCCTCCATCCAAGAATGCATAGAAGGGGACGCTTGCCCTGTCGACGAACACGGTCTTGCTCTTTTAATTTGTAGTTCATGCGACATTTATCCAAAAGTGTAGTTATTGTACAGGATTTTTTTTGTCTGAGAGAAACAGATCTTCACTCACAAGAAAATAAACAATTTAGCATGGCGTGATGGTCGGAGAGTGGTTTTAGTTGGGTTTACTTGCCGACTAGGTAAAAGCTTGAAAGAACTGCTTAATGCACCTTTTTTCCCACAACTCTATAACAGAAAACAGATACGGTCCCGGAAGTATTTTATATATACCTTATTGTAACTGTCCCCACACTAACTTATAATCACTAGATCAACAGCACAGATCAGCTCGACTTTAAAAAAAAACCAATGTTGATATGGGCCGTGAATCACAAAATTGAGTAAAATTTTAACACACGCATATACACACATACACACGCAATCTAATGAATTAAAACTCATACTATAACTTTGGATTTTTTTTATTTTCATTTCATATATTGAAATTCCAAAGTTAATCTATATATAGTTCCATAAAAAGAAATAAATTCGTCTCGCAAAACTACTGACACAATACTCACTTTTTGACATTAAAGAGAAAAACATTTTTGTGTCACGCTTATTGCTGATTTTTTTTTGCGGATGGGCCATGTATTTTATTCATATAATGTCGGAAATTACTGGAATAGTGTAAGAGAGGGAAGAGGAAAAGAAATTTGAACAAACATCGTAAAAGGGGAGAGGGGGGCTTGTAACCGGACAAACGGGAAGTAAAATGGAAATTTCAAGATGAAAAAATAGCTTACATGTTGCTTTTGACCAATTTATACGAAGCACGGTGAATAATAAGCTTCAAGCACGAAAACGTGAAGTAAAAATTGCAAAACCGTTGCACGAAAACTACCATTTACTGTCGCTTTCAAAAACAAACAGTAAACACCATATATTCATATATTAGGGAGCTACCATTTGATTTTTATGGGGCCTAGGATGAAAATTTTTGTCCTGCATTTTATTTAGTTGTAATCTCTGTCCTGCCTTTTTATTTTTCACTCTTTTCGGTCCTGCCTTTTTTTATTAGTTTATTAGTCCTAACTTTTTTTTTACATAAATTGTCATTCTGTCTTTTTTCTGCAAAGTTGCTCGTCCTGCCTTTTTTCAAATTTCATCCTAGCCCCCCTCCCCAATAAAAATCAAATGGTAGCTCCCTTATACTGAAACTTCAGACATTTTGCTTGCATTTATCATTGCATTTTTTTAGAATTGCATTTTTTTAGAATGGACGAAATTTCGGGACTAATTATATTCGATTTCAGTAAAAACTGTTTAAACAAATATTGCTATCAAAATAAAAAATTCAAGGTTTTATTTTTGCAATATTTATTCCTTTGCAATTTTGGCAATAATTAGAATATCGCAAAAATTACTGCAATAAAATTTATGTAACATTTTTCAATAAACTGAAAATGAAAATTTTACTTTAAAATTATCGAAGCAGTTTTTCACAAGTAAAGGATCATGCTTTTCGTATAAATGGACGGGAAAATAAAATAAATGTTGACAAATACGTTTTTTGTACATCAACAATCTGATGTGTATACAAAAAATATATGTTTAGCCTATTTAGGTGCAGGAATGGGTCCACATCAGATATTTTATTTCCTTGCTGGCATAAAAATTCCCCCCAATTGCAGTAAAGAATTTCAAAGAACGAGAAAGAGAAATCGGCAAAACAATAGAAATGAATTCATATAACTTTTATAAACTCTGTACGATTTAGAGCTTGGAATATTGTATAAATACCCTTTTGTCGTTGAATAGTTGTTCATTGACGTACATCTCACACTGATTGAAAAAAACTTCTAAATTCAAAGGATTTCACACATAATCCGTAGGAAATAATAATCGGAAAATTCCTTTGATGCTCTTTTTAGACAGGATAATGATTTCATATTTTTCTTTAGCATATTGATTTAGAAAGATAACTTATAATCAAAAAGACACCTTTTTGAAGCGGTCGTTGATTCGTACTGATTGTTTCTTGCACATGACATTACATGTATTTTAAGTTGGTAGACGATTCTGCTGATGGAGACTGGCGACGTCATGCAATTTCATTTTTTTTACGTCAGCAACACTTTTTCGACAGCTGTTATATAAAAAAGGAGTACCGTAACCCCATAAAAATTATAAACTAATAAAAAGGAAATTTCCATCCTAACAACATTTATTTTTTATAGAAATATCGTAGGATTGTTTTTCACGGCAGAATAAATTAACCATTAAATTTCAAATTTTTAAGGTACATTTGACGTTATGTCTATGTACTTGATAGTGGTTTCCTCACATTTTCAAATGGCTGTAACTCCGAAAGTAAATCGGTTACTCACTTAAATGTTTCGATTTTTCATTGTATTTTTTTAAGTTCTAAGTGTATACAATTTCTTTTAAAAATTGCTGCACAAGCCATTTACGTACCTGTTACCTTAATTCATTACAGTCGCATTCCGCCGACATTTGTCTTTTCCAAATTTTTATGTCTTTTGCTACTTCAGAACAGCCATTTTTTTTTTATCTCATTTCTAAAAGCACAGCATAATACAATTTAGATTAATAAAACGCAGATAGATTGTGAGTGAACACGAGGTTTTCATTGCATCCGTAATGTATCTGTTTAAAAGTATTTTCCAAAAAGCTCTTTAGTGAGACCCAGGCAGTATCTTTCTTTATTTCTGTAAATTAACTGATAAAAAATATCAAGAAAGGAGATCAAGTATTCATTTAATATAGTCTTTTGTAAGAAATCTCTACAAAACAATGCAGAACTTTTCAGACATATATATATAACTATACACTATTTATAAATGTATTTTCTATACATCAAACAGACGCTCAATTTACTTAGCTTCCCTTGTAAACGACACATAAAGTACAATTCAACTTACTCGATTCAAATATAGTCCTGTAAATTTATTTACAATCCGCGTCGAGTAAAATTTGTATTGTCCACTTTAATTGAGACAAAGAAAAACTGAAAAAAACCCGATATATTTCATTTAAAGATAACACACATATATATATACTGAGATTCTGAAAAAATCACATATTTGGGTTGTTAATGATTTCGTTTTGATCTGCCCGAATAAACTTTTATCAGCCGAAATTGTTTTTCAATAGGATTGACAAAAGTCGACAGTTCTTTTTAAAGTGCATGCTTATGGAAAATAGGTTTCCGTTGCATTTGTTGTTTCATATTTCATATTCAACATTAAAGTATATTTTTGCATTTCTAAAAGTCTAATTCTGCTGAAAATCAGACGACTAATCATCAATCGCATTTTTAGTCTTTACTTGACCATCTGCCTCACTCTCCATAACACTCTCTGTCTCTGTCCTATCACTTTGTCTTTTCTCTGTCTTCACTTGCATACTGACTGACTGTCTAAATCAACATCTGTCACAACGCGGGTGACGCATGCATAGGAGGAGACGCTTATCCTGTCGACGCACCCGGTCTCGACTCTTTTAAGGTTCATGCGATTCCCTCAGTTTGAGTATTTTACCTTAGGTAAAGTACTGTTGCCTTAATTTAGATCTCATCATGTCGGAGGCTTCAAAACCAACAAACGTTGCCATTTAATAAATTTTTGCAGGTTTTTATTTACAAATGTGAACAGGTCTTTATACCTAGTAGAATGGGCTTCTTCTATAAACATTAACTTTGTTATCATCTTTCTTTAAATGCAGCTACAAATTAAAAAGTCATTACGCTATCATCTGTACGGCCGTCCATAGTAATAGAGAA